ATACACATATGCGCATTACCCATGCGCGTTCTGGTTAGTGCAAAATTCTACCATTTACACTGGGAAACAAGGAACACTGTTGTTTTACTGGACTGTGTCTATTAATATTTCTAATATCATTTTTAAGAGCGCTGCATTTCTTCTGTTTATGTATTTTGGGACTTTTTATGTGTTTTCCTATATGTTCAGCTGCTTGCATTATTTATGAGCGCTTACTATTTACCACCATTATAACCTTCTTTATTGTCTCGATCTGTCTGTGGCTGACCTCTGCTGGCATTGTCAATAGAGTCAGGGTACCCTGACCCTCCATTGATGGGCTTGCCCTCCTGTTTATAGGTTCTGGACCTCGATCTTGGAGGTGTTCATGAAGATCATTGCTGTGACTATACCAAACTCTTCCCAGATTGCACTGCTGGTTGTATTCCTGGTACTCTCAAATATATTAACAAAGACTTATTAAGGCATTTTTAACAGTGGCCGAGGCTGGAGTAATGGAGGCTCTTAATGCACGTGAACTGAGCACCTATGACCATAATCACCAAACGTGACTCTCCTGGAATGCCTTTAGACTTTCTCAAGAATTTCAAGATCTACATATAGCATGTTGAAGTGGAATCTGTGACCCTCCTTATTATATTTTTTATATTTTCCTCTGGGTGCCGTGTTCAGAACCCCTTTTCTTTCTTTCTTTCTTTCTTTCTTTCTTTTCTTTCTTTCTTTTCTTTCTTTCTTTTTCCTTTTTCTGTCAATTATAACTCACATTGATTGTCCTTGCAGCTTATTCATATGTACTCCTATATGGGGTTAGCTCTGTTCTCTGACTTTCACATGCAGTCATTTTTATCTATAGAGTAAGTAATATAATTTTTTTTTCTTGTTGTAATAGTGTTTGGTTATAGGTTGGATTTGTTATCTACAGTATTTGCTCAGTATTTTGTTTCCATACTCCATCTTGTTTTGTACTGAAACTTTTAATAGATTCAGATTGAAAACAAAATATTTCTAAGCAAATGTACAGCAGTTGATCTGAAAAGAAAAAAACAATGGAATTTTGGAACCTAGGTATTTATGATTCATTATTTATATGATTTAATTAATTCTGGAAAAATTTACCTGACATAAACGTCTAAGCTGTGACCACATAGGAACACATTTGGTTATGCAAGTTCTCATGTAGTACTTGAAACCTTACAACAGCCTTTCTCAACCTTTTCAACGCAGAGGAAACCTTGACATTACTTTACGGTCTCAGGGAACCCCTGCTAAAAATGACTTTATCTACAATTCATGATACATTAGTGTGATAGCCAGAGGTAAGAATGATTCTAACACTTGTGGTCATTGGGAAGAAGTACCTCCTTACAGATTGCTAAAATGATCAATGGTGTCAGTGGGAACTTACCTGAGAGGCAAAAATTGCTCATTACTCAAGGAACCCCTGGCAACCTCTGGAGGAACCTTAGGGTTCCACAGAACTCTCATTGAGAAACCCTGCCTTACAACAAGTCACAGTGACCAACAATGACAATCTAATTGTATCTGTTTTCATTGACTTCTGTCTACTTTCTATACCTGGCATCATTTCTTGCTGCTGTTGTTGTACATGTCTTTTTTTTAGTATTTTTTAGGACATAATTCTTTTGCAGGAGAGGGTAATTAGTCTTGAGGTTGAATTATCCATCATTTGCTGTAGTGATGATGAAAGGGTGCTAGATAAATAAGACAGAAACACAATGGTCTATATGCTATGAATGGTCAGCTTCACTCCCTAGCCTCACTCTTTAGCCAAAGACTGCACATTCAGTATGTTATGACTCAGTCAGTAGCTTAGACCCAATGGTCTATTTAAACATAACATTGAGTAAAATATTGATACTGAATTTTGGTCATTTAATTTAACTTCAAAATGCAACATGGAAAAATAGCAGTTTTTTTTTAATGGCATGCTTGGGAGATGACTTTTTGCTGCATCTGGTGTTATGGAATATTGTGACATTCTACTTTCTGTAGGGTTTGCCATAAGTTTGTGATCTCATGCTATATAAACATAAACTGTATTGCCAAAAGTATTAGGACACCTCTCCAAATCATTGGATTCAGGTATTCCAATCACCTCCATGGCTACAGGTGTATAAAATCAAGCACCTAGACAAACATTTGTGAATGAATGGGTCACTCTCAGGATCTCAGTGAATTCAAGCGTGGTACTGTGATAGGTTGCCACCTGTGCAATAAGTCCCTCTGTGAAATTTCCTTGCTACTATATATACCATAGTCAACTGTTAGTGGTATTATAACAAAGTGGAAGCAACTTGGAACAACAGCAACTCAGCCACAAAGTGGTAGTCCACGTAAAATGACAGAGCAAGGTCAGCACATGCTGAAGCGCAGAGTGCACAGAAGTTGCCAACTGTCTGCAGAGTAAATAGCTAAAGAACTCCAAACTTTGTGTTACCTTCATATTAGCAAAAAAACAGTGCATAAAGAGCTTCATGGAATGGGTTTCCATGGCCAAGAAGCTGCATTCAAGCCTTACATCACCAAGTGAAAATCAAGCATTAGATGCAGTGGTGTAAAGTACGCTTCCACTGGACTCTAGAGCAGTGGAGACATGTTCTCTGGAGTGATGAATCATGCTTATCTGTCTGTCAATCTGATGGATATGTCTGGGTTTGGCGGTTGCTAGGATAAAGGTACTTTCCTGACTGCATTGTGCCAAGTGTAAAGTTTGGTGGAGGAGGAATTATGGTGTGGGGTTGTTTTTCAGGGGTTGGGCTTGGCCCCTTAGTTCCAGTGTAGGGAACTCTTAAGGTGTCAGCATACCAAGACATTTTGGACAATTTCATGCTCCCAACTTTGTGGGAACAGTTTGGGGATGGCCCCTTCCTGTTCCAACATGACTGCGCACCAGTGCACAAAGCAAGGACCATAAAGACATGGATGAGCGAGTTTGGGGTGGAGGAACTTGACTGGCCTACACAGAGTCCTGACCTCAACCCAATAGAACACCTCTGAGATGAATTAGAGCAGCCAGGCCTTCTCATCCGACAACAGTTCCTGGCCCCGCTAATGCGTTTCTGGAAGAATGGTCAAACATTCCCATAGACACATTCTTAAACCTTGTGGAAAGCCTTCCCAGAAGAGTTAAAGCTGTTATAGATGCAAAGGGTGGGCCAACTCAATATTGAACCCTACGTACTTAGACTGGGATGCCATTAAAGTTCATGTGCGTGTGAAGGCAGGAGTCCCAATACTTCTGGAAATATAGTGTATATGTTTTGAAAATATGCATTCTTATTATTTATGAAGGCGCTTTTTATTAATCAATTAATAGCTATTAGATTATAGTACATGCATACAAAAATGTTTCTGTGTATCCCCTATTTTATTTTATCATGTTTTATTGTGTTGTATTTTCTTTAATTACCAATAGGTCAATTTAAGTGAGCCTTTTTCGTCTGAGTGAATGGCTCTTTTTATCTCGATGCATTGATTGTTGTAAAACCTACACATGTGGGAGAGCAACTAGATCGGCAGCTGCTTTGAACTTCCTAGTACCACTCAGTATTTAATCTTCCATGGGTAGCCAAGTAGGTATGCAGCTGATGAAGAGGTAGCCACCTTGAAACAAGTTTTGCACATAGTCCAAGGAGAGACATCTTACAGGGGGCCAGGCTGTGGGAAGAGCCATGGTTTGTGGATGATGTATGGTCTTGCTATCCCCTGCTTGGAAATCCCCAATGTGTGCTGTTTGTCACATACCCTGTGAGTAGGAATTTTCCTTTTATTAAAGCACTTTTATTAATGATACTACACTATGCTGGTTGCACTGTGTTTTCCCTCTCCTGATAGAAAATAGAAAGAGACAAGGCAGGTTTTATTTTGCAATAAAACTTAGAGTGTATTATCTGTGAGACAATAACCACAAATATTGCACAGTGGCTGGACAGTATGCAAACAGCTTGGTTAGGTCATGATATAAGAAAGAGAGATGAAGTAGATTTTATTGATATGAACATTATAATGAATTATTTGAGAGACAACACTCACAAATATTTTACAGTGGCTGGGCAGTATGTGAGCAGTTTGGTAAGGCTGCAATGTAAGAGGGTGCAACTTTTTTTAAAATTAAAGTGTAATATCGGACAAATGATAACTATAACATATTGTTTAGAGGCTGGACAGAATGTACACAGCATGGTTAGGCTGCAATATATAAGGGGAAGTGGGAGTGTCTAGACAGTATGTGAGAAGCTTAGTTAGGCTGAAATATAATAGGGGGAGAGGAGGCAGGTTTTTTCTTACAATAGAAAAGGGTGTATTATCTGAGAGACAATAGCCCAAAACCCTGTACAGAGTCTGAACAATATGTAAACAGCTTTGTAAGGCCACAATGTAAAAGATAGAGACAAGGCAGATTTTATCTTAAAACAAATATTATATTGTATTAATTGAGAGTCAATAAGTACAAATATTGTACAGTGGCTGGACAGTATGTAAGCAGCTTGGTTAGGCTGAAATATAATAGAGGGAGAGGAGGCAGGTTATATCTTACAATAGAAATTAGAAAGTATTATCTGAGAAACAGTAGCCCAAAAACTTGTACAGAGTCTGGAAAATATGTAACCAGCTTTGTAAGGCCACAATGTAAAATATAGAGACAAGGCAGATTTTATCTTAAAACAAATATTAAAGGGTATGATTTGAGAGTCAATAAGTACAAATATTGTACAGTGGCTGGACAGTATGTAAGCAGCTTGGTAAGGCAGCAGTGTAAGAAGGGGAAACGAGGCAGGTTTTATACTGCGATAAACAATAGAGTGTATTATTTGAGAGACAACAGCCACAAATTTTGTACAGCTTCTAGACTGAATGTACACAGCGTAGTAAGGTCACAATGTAAGAAGGAGGAGAAAAGGCATGGTTTGTCTTGAAATAAGTATTAGAGTGTATTATCTGAGAGACAATAGTCACAAATATTGTTCAGTGGCTGGATAGTATGTTAGGTTGCATTGTAAGAGGGAGTGATGAGGTAGGTTTTATTTTGTATTATCTGAGAGACAATAGCCACAAATGTTTTTGAGTGCCTGAACACTGGAATTGGCTGCAAACTTTGAGGTTTGATGTCATGATTACGGCTGTAATGACTGAAACATGATGATTTTTATTGGCTGTATCTTTCTGCTCATCATAAATAAAGGTACAGTTCACTGATCCATACCACTGTGCTGACTTTTCCACTGGACTGTGTGATTGTGAGACTTCAGAAACATCAGCCTGAGCACTGGTTTGAGACTTTGAGTGTATATGCACACAGTTACCTTTTTGATTTACCTTGAAGCAAACATTGGAAATTTGCCAGGTGATGTCTACCTATAGAAACTAGGACAGAAACTTTGATATGCAAAGCAGGATTTACCTTGCAGCAAAGATTAGAAATTAGCAAGCTGAGGCCCAGCTGCAGAAAACATTGTTTGGTACCTGCAGAGTACTTAAGTGTTAGAATGGGTCACAAACTTTAAGATGCAACACAGGATTTACCATGCAAAAGACATTAGAAATTTGGCAGCCGAGGACTAGCTGCAGAAACTGACCACAAACCTTGAGATATTATCAAGATTTACTCTACAGCAAACATTAGTATTTGGCAGCTGAGGTCCAAGTTTGGTAACATTTTGTGGAACATTTGTAGTGCCTGGGAACCAGAATAGTATGCAAACCTTGAGACACAAAGCAGGATTTACTCTGCACTAAACATTAGATATTTGGAAACTGGATTCAAGCTGCTGAAACATTCTGTGGCACTTTTACACTACTGAAGCATCGGAATATGCTAGGAGTAGTGGCAGGAGCTAGTGATGGTAGCAGATAGTATTTTTTTGGTTGGGGAGGGGCTGGAGCTAGGTGATTAAAACTTTAGTGTATAGCACCAGCAGCAGGGTTTTTGTAGCTATTGGTAATACAACAGTGATTCTATTGAAAGTGAGCCAGTCCACACTGTCATGGGTTAGGTAGACTCTCCATTACCTAGTAAACCTTCTGCTGTACTGAAGTCCCTCTCAGACAGCACATAGGCAGCATGACAAGCCAGAAGCTGTAGCACATAATGTGAAAACTCTGGCCAGCAGTCTAGCTTAATTCCTAATAGTCCTTGGGGTTCTCTTATGGGTACTTTTATGTGGTTCAGGTGCTGCCCATGAGTGCTACCTGAAGGCATGCTTGGATGCTGTTATTTAAAAAAACTCTAAAAACAGCTCCAAGGAAGCCATTGCTTTGCCTCCTTTCAGGAGGAAGGATTCCATGGTAGGTGGGCCTTGAACCTATGATAATGGCAAACTCAAACTTCATCCTTAGTAACAACTAGCAATTTCACTGTCTGTTTTCCTCCATTGTTGATTACTCTTATGTAATTAGTGACAAAATCATACATATCTTCTATACACTGTGTTTGGGGAAATTCACTTATGCTTTCTGCTCCATTTTATCCAATTTAGTGGATTTTACACTAACAAAAGTGTGCTATTTAACTTCCAGAAGTAAAGTATTGTAGCTTTTTTACAAATTACGCTGTGATCTTTCCTGGTGATGGAATTATACCCATTTCATAAGCTTGACTGCCCTTATAGGCAACAAATTCAATCAAAACTACATCATGTATCTTGACACCAAAGCATGGAGCAAGAGCTTTTTCAAAACCTTCAAATGGCAGCTAATCAATGATGCGTGTTGTCTGTGGAGGCTGTTCGAAGATCAACAATGTTTTCCCCCTTACTTTTATTTGGAAATAGCACTCATGTCAGTGCATCAAGATGAAGAATAACAATATCCCTTTCACTATTTCTGTACTGCAGGGATGAAGTTGATTCCTCATCTGATAGACATGTTGGTAGTAGTAATGACAATGAAAGACTGCAGGAAGGCCAGTGGATGTCTAACATTTATACAGACCAGAAAAAGTAGAAAGCTGTATGTTTGCTTTATTCTAAGTTAACAAGAATAATTAAATATCTATGACTTTGAAATCACTAAAATTTCATATAAAGTAACTCATGTTTATTATGTTTAAATCTTCAGGACTCCTTAATACCTAGTGATCCTACCATTAAGGTCCTTGTTTAGGCACTTCCTGTTATAGGGTGACAATGAACTGTCCCTGTAATCCAATTATATTCCCTCATTGTCACCTTTTCTTTCTATAGAAACATTATTTCAGCACATTTTGCACAGGCACGGTCAATTTTGTTGCCATCAAAATCTATCTTGAGGAATGCCATGCAACCATTGCTTAAGTGTATGCATGGGGACAGAATGTGGATGCAAAGGTGCTGCAGGAGATTCACAGTGCCTATATGCAACAAAGGAAAAAACACTGTAAAACAATATTTTAATAAAATAAAATCAACATGGAAAAGGCCTATGATACATAGGGGGTTATTTGCTAAAACTGTGTTGTGCAAAACCAGGTGCAGTTCTACATAGAAACCAATCAGCTTCCAGGTCTTATTGTGAAAGCTTAACTGAACACACTGAAGATTGAAGCTGATTGGCTACCATGCACATCTGCACAACTTCTGAGTGCACCGGTTTTAAAAACTCTCCCCTTAGTGCTTTAGCAAACTAAATTCCGTCACTTAGAGTTCACATTTAGTTTATGCTACGAGGTTGACCAGCTTCTGAGTACCTCTGTTGCCCATACCAGCAGCATAGTGGTCACATTTTCTCTGGGATCAAGGAATGCAGTCATAGCAGTAAAATGGTCAAAGAAAACCTAAACCATAACAATGTGCATTACTGGATCTGTAAGTTTCATTAGTGCAGTTCCATCCAAGAATGATCTGTCTCCCATCTACAATATTCTATTTGAAAACCTGTTCGAAATGCATTTCTGCAGCTCATAATAATTAAGAAATCAAATTGCACGTAATCTAATATTGTTTAAGTTTACTAGCATTAGTTCCAAGCTCTCTTTGAAGAAAAGTGTTCATTTATTCATGCCACATTCAAACAGAGCATGAAATCACCAATTTATGCACTGCACGGAAGAACAAGAGCAGATGCAGCTTAAAGCCTGTGACAAATGACCCCATATCCCTGATTTTTAAGATACTTGTTCTGTCTTTTTTGTTAGGCTTTGTTCTGTCTTGATAAAAAAAAAAAAAAGAATAAAGCTTTATATAGGTAAACTTCAAAAAAAGTAATGATATCTTTTTTTTTCATATGTGTAAAAAATATAGCCTATATACTTAATGTATAAATATATAAATTCACATCACAGAAGTCACCTAGATTGTTAGTGTTAAAAGACCTCAACCTAAAGCAGCGAATACTAACTATGGTGACAGTCAAAGATCTATTACTGTCTATCTATTATATCTATAATTACAGATCTACAGATCTGTAGTGTAAAACATGATAGAGCAGAGTCTGGATTTATAATTTTGTTTCTGTAGCACATATACACCAAGACTCTGACATGTTCAATGCACAAAAAAAATATCCTATTTGTTTGGAAGTCAAGTTCAAAGAAATTATGTGGGGGACATGATCTAGCAACTGAATTCTCAGAACAGGAATGCATTCCAGAACAAGTAAAAAAAATATTTTTAGGTATGAATTTCCTTTTTTTAATAATCTGAAATTTTGCCCATTCAGGTCAACGTGCAAGGCCTCTTGTTAGTCCTCCACATCATTTTGTCCATTTCTGGCAAGTAACATAGCATCTTTTACCAAACTGTCATAATAAAAAAAAATTCTCAGCCCATTTCCCACCTTGTTCTGGGCATACTTTAATGCCTATGCTTACTTTTACTGCCACTCTCCCACCACTCAGATCCCTACCACCATCTCTGGAGAGTCAGAGACAATGATTCTCATGTTCCTTGCTCTAAGGGACAGTGAATAGCTGTTTAAGTCCTAAGCTCTGCATTCTGAAGAGGTTGGATGATGTGTTCCCCATACCTAGGCATGATGATGTTAACATGCAAGTTGTGCTCGCATATCTATATTATCACACTAACAGATCATAATTGGTAACACTCAGTATTACTGCACAGCTAATTCCCAAAGCTCTAAGTATCTCTTGCATTTTGTCCATCCAGATCTTAGTGTGGACTTCCAACACTGTAGTGTTTAGGAGCTTAGAGCTAAGATTTCCTAAATAAGTGAATGTTCACTCTTTCCATTTTAGTGGCACAGTTGGGTTTATGTGTCAAATATATAAAATTGAATCATTGTCCCAAGCTTCAGTTGCTAGAGCAGGGGTAGGCAGTCAGAGTGACAATATTTGCAGATAGGAAGAATGGGGAGAACTAGGCTAGGATCCAGTAAAAGCATAGATGAGGAGAGCCATCTAAAACTAAAAGTTCTTTCTCTAAAGAAAAATTTAGGATTTTCCATTTATATGTAAGAAAAAATGTATTAGTGTTTTGTGTAAAAAAGATCATCCAGTGTATTGCTTTCCTTTACAGATACAAAGGCTATTAAAAAAAACATTTAGGATGAGTCGTGTAACCCTCAGTAAGTAATGAATAATTTCCATACTCATTCACACTTTACAAGTTCCACTAGTATTCAAGATATTTCACATTAACACCTTTGAAGATGAACATGTTTTATTACTGATTCTAGCATGCAATAAATATAAAATAGAGTTAGAACTGTACACTAAAATATTCTAATATTTTCAAGTTATCTGCTTATATTTTTGTCATAATGAAAATCATCCTTTAGTACTGCCCCCATAACAATCAAAAAGACATCTATGTCGTGTGTTATTTCTTCATGCTCATTTTACACCAGCTTCACATCTTCAGATTTTATGTTGCAGTTTTATACAGGGTGTAACCAGGGCCAGGTTTATACTTTTGTCTCCTCCAGAAATGACCAAAACATTCTCAACAAGAGTTCAAAATAGATTGTAGATTTTCCAAGTGTATTACAAAGTCCAAAATAAATAAATAAATAACTGTTACTGAATTAAACAGGAAAAAAAGTATCCACTTACAGTTAAAATAGCTGAGACTGGCATGTGGA